ATCCATAAAGCTGGTGTTTGTTAATAACTGCATCTGGTGAGCAGCTTTCACTAATATCAATTTGATACGTTGATAGTGACAAAATTAGTGTTTTAAGTCTTAACTTTTGCCGTTTCTAATAAATTTCTGTATGATATCGTCTAACCAAAAAAAAAATCAAAGGATGGTTGGTGGCATAATAAAAAGTCACCTTTGTTCCTATGGATATATTGTGATATTGGTGACGATATTTATCTTTACGTTAAAGTAAAGCCCTCCATTTTTTTCAAACAACTTCAACAGTTTAAAACAGTTGGGGCAATCAAGTCACATTTCTAGGGTAATTGGTGGTGGAGGTACAATGTCAATTTGTACAAAATCAATATAAAGCAACCGAGACGAATATTGGAAACAACGTGCTCATGAAAATTGATCCTTATTCATCTATTCACAGGTAGTATTCTAATAGGGGAAAACAAGCACTTCCTCAATAATTTTGCCAAGGATTATTCTACAAATGCATTAAGTAGGAATCCTTCATGTTAAATGATTTGTGGGTATTTTGGGGGATTTGTACCGTGTACTAAATACGAAGTTGTTTATTCGGCTTGTGTTGGAAATTGACTGGAAAAAAGCTTCCGTTACATGATTGTGTCAAACATTCCAAATTCATTACTTTTATTTTGCTTTAACAAAAAAATCTATAACCTTAATAGCATCGCTGCACTTCCGAATGCAAAATTGCACTGCGTGTTCCATGTCGATGACGTCCTAGTGAAAGTGAATCGACAAACGCTTCCTTCTATAGACTTCTGCTACAAACTTTTTAGAACAACAGACGAAAATAAGGTAAGATCCGACTACATTCCTAAAAATCCCGACCTTCTCATCGATGACTTTCTGTGTCTCTATAAAGCATCAAACAAACAGATGAATAATCAAATGCTCATTATTTAGGTCAGCTCGTTCATATTAACTTCGGAGTCTAAGTCCACTAAAAAAAGTGCTTTTAACTGATGCAGAAAAACAAGAGAAACAGAGCAGAATTTTGTTTGGAGTAAAATCGGATAACTAATATTAGGAAAATATGGTTTTTTGAAAAACTATGACAAATCATGGGAAACACTACACAAATTGCCAATCCGGTTATCAGTTTGTGACGTCACTGCCTCACCATTTATGAATTGCTTTATATATTTTTATCTCATTAATTTCCCCTTTTATCCCCCCAAACCTGATTTCTCCCATGCCTAATTTGCCCAGGTTATATGATTTGTATCTTATTGCCTGCATGACATTTCACAAAATATTGTATGAACTTTGAAAAATTGATACTTTTTTCTTAAAGGGATCGTTTAACAATGTTAAATCTGAGATACACGGTCCTACATGTTACCAGTGTCTGTGATATGATGATATATTGAAGCCCTAAAAAAAATCGCGCTTTAAAATGATCAAGAAGTGCCTCAAAAAAGTAAAAAATCTTTGAGTGACCGGTTTTACCATACTCGTTTTCCCCAATAGACTGTAATGTTATGAAAACCGTTCGGCGAACGGTTTTCAAAATTTGTAATTCCAATCATTAATATCTTGATAATCAGACAGGCGATCGGCTTGTAAAAATCATGGAGTTCCTGACTGACCTAAAGGTTTATAATTATCATTGCAGCATGAGCTAAATCAAGGATTATTTCTAAAGGATCTAAGACAAAGTTACCGGATCCCTTTAACATGTTTAAGTACATTAATAATTAACTTCCACCATCCTTTGAAAACATGTTTAGGTTAAATAGTTCTGTTCATTCGTACCCTACTCGCATATCTGGAAACTTCTATCTTACAAATCCCAAATTATCAATAATACACAAATCTGTAATTTGAGTTTGAATTTGTATCCTTTTGAACGCAATAATAAAACCAAACAATCAAACAGTATTGTATATTCATAATTATTGATTTGTATATAAATAGTTCATCAAAATTCAAAATTTGCATGATTTAACAGAAGAAAAATATATCTATATTAGTGCATCCACACATAAACATATTACTATCAACTTAGATGCTGGTGTGACAAAATAAAATTCTTATTGAAATTTATTTCATCAATATTAAGAAAAAAAATAGTGGTTAATGAGGCAATGAGGTCACAGACTCATGAGTGAGTTGCCAATTTGTCTCATGATTTTCAAAGTTTTTTCATGTCATAACAAATTGATAACTTTCTTATTAATTAGGGCTTTTAGATTTTGCTCAAACTTTTTTTGAATGCTTTTAAAATATTTTCTGCTTCTATTAAAAGTGAACTTTAAGTAACACACGTTTTTCACACAGAGTACTGATAGAGGGAGATCTGAATAAATCAACCGCTGGGCAATTTTCCTGGGTCTTTCTATCTTTCTCTAATTTTGTTTTGAGAGATTACCAAAAGTGCACAAGAAATAGAATGTCAGAACATTCTGTATAAGAGATTTGTAGAAGAGAACTAGGATCCTATTATCGACATGAAACTCCTTGAGTTTCCTTAGAAAGAATAACCTTTGATTCGCCTTGCCTGCTACAATTTGGCTTTTCCTATTCCAATTAAGTTTATTACCAACAGTTGTTCCCAAGTACTTGTATTCAGATACTCGCTCAATGCTTTGATCATGGATACCCAACGGGTCATGAGGCTGAGAGGAACGACTAAAATCATATACCATTTCCTTACTCTTTGTAACGTTAAGTACCAGATGGTGCCGATCGCACTAGTTTATACGAATTGATCAACTTCTCTAAAATATGGGCTGGTATCTCTATAAAGGAAACCAGTTATAACAGGTTCATTTACGTACTTGATTATTGAAAAATTATCATTGGTGATGGTAAAGTCACTAATATAGAGCGAGAAGAGAATTGGTGAAATTACACAGCCTTGAGGAGTACCAAGATTCAGATATTTCATGAAAGAGTTCGGATTTTTGCAGTTAACCCACTGTGGTCTGTCTACAGGGAAATTATGGATATTTTTAACAAGACGGGGTGAGAAAGATATATTTATTTTATTAAAGTAGCTTATACTATCAGTAAAGACGATGAATACTATTAGCATTCATGATCAATTGATCTCATCATCTCATCTGTCCCGTAGTCTGGTTGACCGTTGGGGCACCACTGTAGATTTTACAACCAGCTTCCTCCATTCCTCGCGGTTCTCAGCTTTCCTCCGTATGATGTTCCAGTCAAGGCCAGTCCATTCTTTGATGTTGTCTTCCCATCGTTTCTTCTGTCTGCCTCTTCGTCTTCCTCCCTGTACTGTTCCCTGTAGGATAGTCTTGGCCAGTCCAGATGATCGTGTGACGTGCCCGTACCACTTCAGTTTACGTCTTTTTACTGAGATCAGGAGGTCTTCAAACGGCCCGATGGCGTTTTCAATTCTGTTTTTCACTACCTCGTTGGTTATGTGATCTCTATACGAGATACCGAGGAGTTTGCGGAAACATCTCATCTCGAGTGCCTGTATCCTTCTTCCGAAGTCTGCTGTTATGGTCCACGTTTCACATGCATACAGAAATATGGACATGACCAGGGAGCGCATCAGTCTGATCTTGGAGCTGATGGCGATGTTTTTGTCTGTCCAAATGACTTTTAGTTTGGTCACTGCAGCTGTGGTCTGGGCTATCCTGGAGAGTACTTCAAGTTTGGATCCCTCATCCGATACTATAGCTCCCAGATATTTGAAGCTACGGACTGTCTCCAGTTTCTTGTTATTTACGGTAATGTCGGTGCTGATGCCATTGGTGTTATTTGTCATCAACCGGGTCTTTTCTGCACTGATCTGCATGCCATATGATGTGGAGGCCTTTTCAAGGTGCTTTACCAAGTTGACTAGCTCTTGCTCTTCTCCAGCTAGGTCGTCAATGTCGTCAGCAAAACGCAAGTTTGTAACTGTCCTGCCTCCGATGCTGACTGTTCCTTCATGGTCTTTTAGTGCGTCATCCATTATTCTCTCTAAAAAGATGTTGAAGAGAGTGGGGGAGAGTAGACATCCTTGACGGACTCCGATTGAGGTTCGAAACCATTCTCCTATATTGTTGTCAAGGTAGACTGCGCTGGTTGCCTTGTCGTAGAGGCATTCTATGGTTCTGATCAGGTTGGCGTTGATGTTATACAGCCTCATGGTTGCCCACAAAGCTGCATGCAAAACTCTGTCAAACGCCTTCTTGAAGTCCACGAAGACGGGGTAGAGGTTTTGCTGGTGTTGCAGGTACTTCTCACAGAGTATTCTAAGATTTAGAATTTGCTCAGTTGTGCTCCTTCCTGCTCTGAAACCTGCCTGTTCTTCTTTGATGATCTCCTCAGCTTGTGGCTTCAGTCTATTAAGGAGGATTCTTAGCATGAACTTACTTGGATGACTGATCAGGTAGTTTTGGCATAGTTGTAGGTTGCCCTTCTTCGGGAGGGTGATGATCAGGGACTAAGTCCAAGGTGATGGCCACTCTCCTGTCTGCCAGATCTTGTTGCAGATGATGAGTAACATATCAATCATGGCCTCTCATCCTGCCTGGACCAGCTCCGATGAAATGTTGTCCACTCCTGCCGACTTGCCTTTCTTCAGAGATTTTACTGCGGCTTCAACTTCTTCCCGCAGGATGCAGTAGCTGTCATTGTTGGTTGGTGGAGGGACATCTAGCACCTTGGGGTCTCCTATTATTGTGTGTGTGTACAATTCGGAACAATACTCTGTCCACCGCTTTTGAATATCTTGTTGTTCTGTTAGACATTTCCCTGCTTTGTCTTGGATGATAGTAGTTCTCCCTTGTTTCGAGCATGTCAGTTCTTTCACAATCTGGTAGGCTTTCTTACTGTTATTTTTCCGCAGGTTTTCTTCGATACCTTGGCATTGTTCTTCAATCCATGTCTCCTTAGCTTTTCTCATGCCTTTTTTAACTTGCTGGTTAACTTCTCTGTATAATTTTACACCTTCTGGCATATTCTTCTTTTGATTCAGTTCTCTGCGTTTGTCGCATAGCTTTAGTATGTCATCTGACCCAGGGCTTCTTTGTTGGTCGGTGTTTGCCAAGGATGTCGCTGGCTGTTTCTGTCACGGCAGTGTTAAATTTGTTGATCAGAGTGTCTATTTCGGTGTCCTGATTACCAAGGACGAGGAGTGGAGCAAACTTTCCTCCTATCGTTGCTCGAAAAATTTCTGAGATGTTGGGGTCCTTGAGTTTTTCAAGACTAAACCTGATCCTTTTGTTTCCCTGCCTTTTCATCCTTTGGAGGCGTAGTTTGAAGGTCATCATCACAAGCTCATGGTCACTTCCGACGTCGGCTCCTGGAAAGCTCCTGGTCTTTGCGATGTTCGCACTTGACTGGAAGCGTCCCTTGACCATGATGTAGTCGATCTGATTGTGGTATTGTCCTCCTGGGCTGTGCCATGTCCAACGTCTAGATGGTTTGTGTGGGCCAAATGTGTTCACCACCTTCAGGTAATTATATTTGGCGAATTCTAAGAGCCTCAAACCTCTTTCGTTGGTTTCACGGTTGCAATATTGTCCACATGTCCCCTTCCAGTTCTTGCTTGCGTCCTCTCCTATCTTTGATCAATTGATAAATACAATTGATAAATACGTGTAAAAACACAAATGCCGTGTGAAGATTATTCGATCTCTTTTTTTGTTTGCGACTTACTTTATTAATATAGCTTCGCACTAATTGCTCTAATTTTGTTTTATGAGGAGGGAGGGTCACAGAAGGGGGATCGGTGCAAATTCTGATCGCTACTACCAATTATCTTCATGATTCAGACTGAAAATCATGACTATCACCTGGATCCAGATCTCATTTCATGTATCACTTGACAGATAGCCTGCATCATTTCTGAACACTCATCATTTCCTACACAGCATACTGCCCCCATCCCAAATTTACTTTTGATGGGAGGGGGGCATTTCAATAGAGGGAAGGGGTCGGATACAAGTTCTGAACCACACCATGTAGTATGAACATGTTTAAGACGGCAAATTCTGTCTGTCACTTGGAACACGTCTTATTTTATGTATTATTTGACTTATATCCTAATTCAAAAATATTACGTATCGGTTGTTAGAAATATAATTACCATAGCAACGGGAACTAAGCAATATATATCATTAAAATATGATAAAAATGCATCATCTGTCTTCAAACTTCCTATCAAAGTAGTCATCCGCTTTGTGATAGAAATTTCTCGCGATATATTCTATTTTTCACGTCACTTTGTTACCGTTGCTAAGAAGAAGACAGCCCTTAGCAACCTAATTTGCCATTTTGGCTCATAAAAAAGTGTCTGACTTTAAAACGATATAATACCTTTCAGTAGGTGAAGCAATAGACTTTAAATTTGGATATGATATCAACCACATTTCTAAACTGTATTTTGCCACAATTTATATTTTTCAGGAAATGGTAAAAAAATCATATTCTGGGCTCAGAATTTGTATGCAAATCATCCCCAAACCTATTGAATAAGGTACTATCTGGTAGGAAATTTAATTGTCTTTCATATGACACCTTACAAATGGTAAATTGAGGTACTTAACAAAAAAATCCCCAGAATCTTAGAACAGTAGTTAATACATGGCGGCCATTTTGAAAAGTAGCCGCTATTTTTTTTTTCCAGCAGCATATTGCAAAGGAATTCCACCTAGAAATTGAGCAGGGAGGTCTCTCGAAAACGTTGAAACATAACTACCTTTTACAACACGCCATGTCTCAACCCCCCAAAAAAAAGAATTGGCGGTTTTGCCACCTAGGTACACCGGCGTCAAGTGTCAACATATTCCCCCCAAATAAGTGTAATTTAAGAAACTAAATGATTATGTCAACATGGAATAATTGTCATTTATTCCTTTTTATCTCGATCGCAAAGGCTTTCGAAAAAATCAACTCCGCTGGGACGCGCAATTTCAATAACCTATGTTGTGTATCCTGCAGTGATAATGTACGGATTCCGTAAAATGTCATTGCCATGTTTGCACATTGCAATAGGTGACTAACAACGCTATTGAATCTGTCTGATGTTGACTTTTGAATTTCAATCTACACTTCGCTTGCTCTCTTCGCCTCTCTGCGTGGTCGCTCCTTTGCCATAGTATAGGTGTAATTAAGCAACACAGACACCAATTGACGAAAGGATTGCCTTGTACAACTAACACTTTTGCTTTGCAAAATTACACATCTCGTGTCTTGATAACCTCCTTTAGAAATCTTCATATAGATTAATCTTGCACTGAAAACAGTTCAATATTGAAGCCTTTAGTACAGTACAAATACAGTATTGCACAGGGAGATTATTTGCAAGGCATATTTAATGTAATACAATTATCAGAAACAAATATTTTCTTGCTTAAAATTCAATTCGTACTACAGGTACAGCTTCTGGTCAAAAGGATAATGCATGGCATCCTGTGTCACGTGACCTTGTCAGCCAATGTGGACGTCGATTCTCTGGGTCTCGAATTCGGGAACCAAAGTCAAGGCAATGAGGTAAGTGTCTCTTCATTCGAATCATTGTAATGCCGTAAGCTCGTAACTCGCATCCTAACATGAATTCCTTATGTATAATCAATTAAATAGTGAAATAAAAGTGGCTGAATGAAATAACACAGGGCCTACTGTTTGACCGAAGTTACCCAACAATTAAATTTCTTTGAAAAGTTCCATTAAGCAGTTCGCGTGGCAGCTGCACTGCTAAAACCAGGGTAATTATGCTGCATCATTGTAGAGCGCTTATAGACTTCTGATAAAGTAAGTGTTAAGCAGGGCTCCCACTTAGCCGAGTTGGAGCCTTGAGTTGTGGCGAGCTGGCTCGATCTTATGGCAAGCCGTTTTATCATTAAAATATATTTCTTGATATCAAGAAATAATTTTACGTTGTAAAGCAATAGTAATTCTTGATATCAATAATTCGATTTCGTGATATCAAGAAATATGTTTTGATGATAAAACAACTTGCCATTTAGATCGCGCCAGCTCGCCACAACTCGTTGCTCCAACTCGGCTAAGTGGGAGCCCTGCTTTCGGCGCTACATAAGCAAATATAATTATTAAGCAAGCGGGATTTTAAAAAAATACATGTTTGTCAAGTACAATTTCTGAGAGGAAGGGATGAAATAAAGCTGGCTAATTGCTCTCGATATTTTTTCAAATAGATGCATTTTAATCATTAACAAACTCCCCTTTAGGTTACAACTATGCACAGTGGGGGACTCGTTGCAAAGAGTGGTAGCCCACCTCGGCCACGGGCTCAGGGTGTCATCGACGATGGAATGCTGGTAAATTGGGGCTTAGTTGAAATAAACCAGTCACCAGTCTCTTTCGACAGCTCACCAGCAGACGTACGTTATTGCTATTCTTAATTATTTTCTTCATATATTTAATAACACAATAGTATCTTTCACAACTCACAGCCCATTAAAGAAATATTTTATCTATAGGTCTGTGGTATAGGTTGTGGCTGAAAATTTGATGATTATAGTTTAGTCTCATGTTTTTTTTCTCACTCACATGTATATATAGCCTATTAAGTCCGCTATTTTGATGCTCAAGCCATGATTTTCCATGAATGTAAGTGACTAATGGTGGAACTCTGAATTAAAGAACTCTAGATGTGAGTTGGTTAGGTAATGTAAATAATACCGTCAGCTCTCTTTCTTTGTAAATTTAAATAATCACAACGGATTCATGCAAGTCTTCTTCCTCTTCTCCATCTTCTTCCTCTTGTTCATATTCATGTTGTCTTCTTCTTCTTCATTTTTTATTTTGTATAGCCTTTTCGTCTTCATTTTCTTCTTCTTGTTCTTCATCATCATCTTCTCTTTCTTCTCTTTTCCTTCTTCTTGTTTGTACGATTGTTATTATCATCATCATCACCATTAGTATCATTATCTTTATTATTATCATCATCACCAATATCTTGAATATCATAATCATAAATGTTTCTATTCAATCGTAGGTACGGAATCAAATTCAGCGCGCAGGGTGTGAGCTAGCTCTTGTTTTCCTTCCAATGGACCTCATCGACGTCTTTTAGGAAAGACCATGTGAAGAAAGCAGTAAACAGACATTTGAAGGAGAAGGCACATGTTAAAGCTACATTCACGACGATTTGCAAGCCAGAAACCCAGAAATTCATCAAATCCACCTTTTATTCTTGAGTTTAAAAAAAAAAAATATATATATCAACGTACAAGGAGTATAAATAATGAAGTTGTTAACTCCATATGATTATATATTGATTAAATGAATTTAGTATATCACACCATCTCACTTTTGGACGTGTGGACCTATTATTAGGGTAAATCTACTTCATAAATCCGTTTGTAAAGTTTAATCAGTAGATTCTTTATTTTTCTCTTATACATTTGGGTTCAATGAATGTTTTGATGTGGATCAAATTATACATGTACTCCGCGAACTATCTAGATACAAATATTGAAATGTACCATATAAAGTATTTACATGTAGAAATTATTAATGACGGCACGTGTTTGTATATTATCAAAAATAATTAGATTATAAATCGCAACACTTTGTATAATCACGCCGTTTTTTGTTTGTGCAGCTAAGAATAATAACTTTGAACAGTTCTAATATTACTAACATTACTATTGCAACGGGGAGAAATCTGGAAACAAGACTCAAGGAGCACAGAACAAGCTTCAGACTCAGCGATTGGGATAAGTCCGCCATCGTCAAACACGCCCAGCAACACGAACACACCATCGAATGGGATAACAGTCATCTCATCTCCATAATGAAACACTGGCATACACGCCGAATCCGAGAAGCCATCGAAATTCACCGCCACAACACCGTGCCCCAAGACTCAGGACTATACATCTACGACATCTGGAAACCTCTCATCAACAAGTACCCGGTCACTCCTCCTCCAGCACCGCCTCCAGCACCGCCCTCACCACCACCCCGACAGACACCCGTACATCAACCACCGCCACCCGCCGAACCCTCAAAGCAGCCGCCAGTCTCACAGCTACAATGCACAGCAGACGACAACAGACTACAACGCCGCCTACGTCGGGGACACACACAGCGTCTCGCCGACAGCACTTCCCACTCATCGACTCGAAACTCTCCTAAGTCCGCAACCCGGAGCCTCCAGCCCAGGCGGTCAGTCAGACGAATTACCAGACGACCATCCATGCCCACTCCCCGATGACTCAAGCCGACACGGTCTACTATTTTTCCCTGACGTCCGCACCCCGGTGACTTAAGCTCACGCACGCCAGCTATTCTCCACTCCTGACGACGGATAGTCAACCTGTTCGGAACGTCGAGCCACTCATCCTCTCCAAGCGCTATAGTTCTCCTGGGAACTATATGCTAAGAAAGATAACAAACAGTCCTTTTCAGGACTACACTCCTCCAAGAAAGATTACCGAGTCAGAGTCCTTTTCAGGACTCCTCAAACCTCTCTCTCTCTCTCTCTCACATGGTGCAACCGCAAACCTACTGTATTACTATTGCTATTATCACAATTGGGTGCATCGTAATTGCGAATTTTTTTTGGGGTCACTTAGCATCGTTTCACAAGATTGTAGCAAGTATTCACGTTCACCAACAACACATTGAAACAGGTATTTATTTAACATCCTTCTCAATGATGTCGACGAACTTGATCTACTGACGGTTTTGTGAAACCATACACTTGTGTTTATGTCGAGACCTAATTATGACTCCAACAGTACTATTTCTATATAGAAAAAGGATCTTTCTATCATCATATGATATAAAGACCTACGTACATTTAATTACAATTTGATGTCATCTTATTATGTGTTTCCTCCTTCTCATTTGAATTCATTCAATGTATTAGTTTCAACATTTAATTATATAGTTAATAGCATCCTTAAAGTTTAACGAGTACTACATTGCCCGAAAATGATAAAAAAATGAAATAAACAAATATATACATAGTTTGGTTGGGTTCATTTCAATTTGTTCAACCAAAAATTACAACAACAAAAAAAATACCGGCATGGTAAAAATATTCATTACAAGGGCATATTGACAAGGTTATATACAGGTACAACACAATGTACGAGGAAATGGAAAGTTTAAATGTAGAAGGACCTTTAAAAAAGGGCTACTCTTGCGAACAAAGACCCCAAAACACAAATAACATCACATTTACGCGGAGTATGAATAATTTTAATTGTTAACTAAAAATTCTATATATATGTATATATATGTATATATATATATATATATAGGCGTGAAGAAAAAGGTCTAGGAACGTGAGACGTAGCTGTACTTTACAAGTCTACTACGAGCTTTCGGCTTGTGAGGCCTTCTTCAGGTTCTGAAGTGCAAACACATACAAAAACAAATACATTGTATGAAAAAATATACATCGCACTTTTATATGTATATATATATATATTGATTAAAAGAACTTTATATAATGATACCATCTCTACTTATTGACGTGTGGGCATATTATTACCGTAAATCTACTTCAAAATATTGATGGTAAAGGAATTGTCTTCATTCTTTATTCTTCTCTTTTACATTTTGGTTAAATAACTATTTTGAAAATATATACACTCAATGAGTATCAAATTATACATGTACTCCGCGAACTATCTAGATACAATTTCTTTAATGTACCCTATAAAATATTTACATGTAGACATTATTAATGTCGTCATGTATTTGCATATTATCCGAAATGTTTAGATTATTATAGGAACACTTTGTATTATTACACCATGTTTTGTTCGTGCAGCTGGGTATAATAATTATTAACGGTTCTTATATTACTAGCATTACTATTATCATTATCATAATTGGACGTTGTTGTTATTTTTTACTTGGCATCCTTTCACAAGATTGGCACAAGTATACACTTTCACCAACAACCAATTTAAACGGGTGTATAATTAACACACGCTTCAATAGGTTGTTGGCGAACTTTTTCTTATAGCGATTACGTGAAACCATGCCCTGATGTTTATATTATGACTCCAACTGTTATTATGACTCCAACAGTACTATTTAATATAGATAGAAAAAAGATCATTCTATAACATCGTATGACTAATTTGAAGTTCTACATACATTTAATTACAATGTGACGTCATTTGATTATTTGTTTCCTCATTCTGATTTCATTTGATTTATATATTGGTCTCAACATTCAAAAATATAATTAGTAGCATCCGTTACGTTGAACGATTACTAAATTGCCAACAAATGATGAAAATTATTTACACAACACAGTTTAGCTGTGTTTAGTTTAGTTTATTCCTTTCAAAAGCAAACATAACAAATTACATGGTAAATATGTTCGTTTCCTAGACATATTTTATATATATATATATATATATGTATATATGTATATATATTTGATTTATCTTGTTTTTAGACGTGAGGGCCAATTAGTACGGTAAATGTACTTCATATAATGGTATGTGACGTTTCTTCAGTAGATTCTTCAATTTTCTGATTCCAATTTCGGTTCAATAAATATTTTGTAAATGTATACAATCGGTGAGAATCAAATTATACATGTACTCCGAGAGCCATTAAGATACAAATACTGTATTTACATGTATAAATTATCAATGACGTCATGTGTTTGCATATTATCCGAAATGTTTACATTATTAATGGTAACACTTTGTACTATCCCGCTGTAAAATATGAAACGTTTATTTAGAAGATTTGTTTTCTTTCTCTTTTATGTTTGATTTCGATAACTATTTTGAAAATATATACAATCGATGATGATATAAATTGTACATGTACTCCGCGAGCTATTAAGATACAATTACAGTAGTGTACTTTATAAAGTTAGTATTTACATGTAAACAAAATATTAATGTCGTCATGTATTTGCATATTATCCGAAATGTTTAGATTATTCAAGGAACACTTAATATTATTACACCATGTTTTGTTCGTGCAGCATTTCATTTGATTTATGTATTGGTCTCAACATTCACAAATATAATTAGTAGCATCCGTTAAGTTGAATGATTACTAAATTGCCAAATATGATAAAAATCATTCACATAACACAGTTCAGTTGTGTTTAGATTAGTTTATTCCTTTCAAAAGCAAACATAACAAATCACCTGATAAATATGTTCGTTACCTAGACATATTATATATATATATATATGTATATATATTTGATTTATCTTGTTTTTAGACGTGAGGGCCAATTAGTACGGTAAATATACTTCATATAATGGTATGTGACGTTTCTTCAGTAGATTCTTTAATTTTCTGATTCCAATTTCGGTTCAATAACTATTTTGTAAATATATACAATCGGTGAGAATCAAAATATACATGTACTCCGAGAGCTATCAAGATACAAATACTGTATTTACATGTAGAAATTATCAATGACGTCATGTGTTTGCATATTATCCGAAATGATTAGATTATTAATGGTAACACTTTGTACTATCCCGCTGTAAAATATGAAACGTTTCTTCAGAAGATTTGTTTTCTTTCTCTTTTATATTTGGGTTCGATAACTATTTTGAAAATATATACAATCGATGATGATATAAATTGTACATGTACTCCGTGAGCTATTAAGATACAATTACAGTAGTGTACTTTATAAAGTAAGTATTTACATGTAAAAAGAATATTAATGTCGTCATGTATTTGCATATTATCCGGAATGTTTAGATTATTATAGGAACACTTTGTAGTATTACACTATGTTTTGTTCGTGCAGCAGGGTATAATATTTATGAACAGTTTTAATATCACTAACATTACTAATATCATTATCATAATTCGGAGCATCAAAATTCCTAATTTTGTTTTGGTTACTTGGCATCGTTTCACAAGATTGTCGCAAATACAAGTTCACCAACAACACATTGAAACGGGTGTATAATTAATACACGTTTCAATAGGATGTTGGCGAACTTGTTCTAATGACAGTTTCGTGAAACCATACCCTGTTGTTTATATCGAGATCTAATTATAACTCCAACTGTTTCTATGACTCCAACATTACTTTTTACTAGATAGAAAAAGGACCGTTCCGTAAGATCATATGACTAATATAAAGTCCTACAAACACAAAATTACAATGTTACGTCATTTGATTTATTTGTTCCCTTAGTCTGATTCTATTACATAATTATTAACACCCGTGAAGTTGAATGAATACTGCAAATCAGTTTATTACACCGTTTAGTTCGGTTAAGTTCAGTTTATTATATTCAAAAGCAAACATAAAAAACAAGGTAAATATGTTAGTTACAAGGCTACACTCTTCGAAATGTTGGGCAATCTCCACTTGGTAAATGAAAATTGGCCAAACGTTGGGTAAATCTTTCCCAAGTTTTTACTGCATACATTTACCCAGCGTGTGTTGAAAGATTAATGCATGCATATTTGGCGGCCAGCAATGGGTAAGTTAACAGTGGGCGTAAATAAACCTACAACTGGCGAAAACTTCCCCAACCCTTAACTGTATGCATGAAAAATTTAAATCCTACAAACTGGGTAAACACCAACGGGTAAATAAAAATTGGCATCTCTAAACCTACAACAGGATAAACTTTTCCAAATCTGTTGGCCTACTTTTCGCATTTACCCAACATTTAAAAATTGAGTTTCCTGGGTAACCGGCACTGGGTAAATGAAAATTGGGCGTATTTAATCAAACAAAATTGTGTAAAACGTTCCAAACTTTTGACAGTATTAAGCATAAACCCAACAAGCGTCAAACACCGTGCCTTAACACCTATACTGGATAACCGACACTGAGCATTACATAGCCTAAATGAAGAATTGTGTTACTCCTTCAATGCCAGGCGCGTACGCAGGGGGGGGGGGGGGTTAAACCCTCCCCCCTTTGGTATTTTTTATGTGTGTATTTTGGAGGAAACCCTCAAAGAGCACGTTTGGGTTTGATATTGAATACCAGCAGCATTGTCACCAAGTGTGGTTTTTCTACAATGCGTCATATATGGCATAGGGAATGAAGGTGCAAATATTAGACCTACAGTTTGTGACCTGAGGGCATTTCGGGCAACTCACATCTCCGATTTTCCTTTTGTGAAAGAGCGCCATCTACTGTTCGTATTCGAAAGTTTGATATTTAGGTGCTAACAGCATCTTAGGGGTAATTTAACTATGGAGAGGACGTAGCACGTAGTACGTGCTTTAATAGCACAGGGT